ATGTTTTTCCAAGAACTTGTGCATGTCTTCCAGGTTGTTGAATTCACTGGAGTATAATCCTTCGTGTAGTACTGTGTAATTATTCTTTTGATTTCATTAGGGTCTGTTGTAATGTCCCCTCTTTCATCCCTCATCCTTGCTATTGAAATTTGTTCCCTCCTTTCTTTGTTGAGGTTTGTTTATCCTTTCAAAGAACCAACTTTTAGCACCATTAATTTTCCCCATAGTTTTCTTATTTTCCCTCTCCTGAATCTCAGCCCTGATTTTATTATTTCTTTTCTTTTGCTATTATTAGGATTGTCCTGTTGACTGTGCTCTAGTTGTAAATTTTGTGCCAGCATATCAATCATGAGTCTCTCTTCCTTTTTCAGGTGTGCATGTATTGCTATGAAACTTCCTCTGATACTGCCTTCACTGTGTCCCATAAGTTTTGGTAGGTTGTGTTCTCATTCTCATTGGTTTTTAGAAATTTCCTAATTTCATCTCTGATCTGGGCCAGTACACAATCCTTTTGTAGTAGAGAGTTATTCATCCTCCCATTGCTTGCTCTTGTTTTCCTCATCTTCCTTTTGTTGTTTTCCAGCCTTATGACACAGTGGTCAGAGAAGGTCCGTATGATATCAATGTGCTTAAATTAAAATAAATGTTCATTTTGTTTATTCTTATTTCTTTAAAGAACATTCACCATATTATCCCAATATAATAAAGAGAGAGAGTATCTTTATTATTCTTATAATGTATGTTATCTTTAAGTAATGGAAAAGTAATAGGATTTCTGTGAGGATTCCCCATATTGATCCTCAAGCTTGTTTGTTTTTTCCCTTGTTAATACTAGGAAGCTATACTAGAATTCCTCGTTCTCTTTTCTGTGAAAGTCCTTTCAGTATCAGACAGCTGGTGGGTCAGTGAGATGGAGTGTGTAAGTGGGGATGTGAGAGGGTGAAGAGAACAAAGGCAGATGAATGGATGAAGCCAGATGCCTTGAAGGTTGATGGGTCTGAAACCAAAGGAAGGAGCTTGGTATTTTCGCCCAGCTCTCCATTAGAATCCCATAAAAATCTAAATTCTAGGTTAGGAAATCTTGCCTTTTTATTTCTTTGGAACTAGTGAATTCAAATTTTCCGACTTCTACCACACTTAGTGGAAAACTTCATCCTCTATGTAGGGTTTTCTAGCCTCTTGCTCTAAGCCGTTATGTGAGTTACTCTCATTATCTAACTTATGTCCATCTCATTAAGGTCCTCCGCTCTCCAAGGGCCAGTCCCTCTTGATAAGATGTTCAGAGTATAAGAGCCCAAGTCTCACCATTCTCCCTTCTCTGGTATATTCTGGCTCCACTTCTTCCAAGGCACATTTGAAAATACTCTGTCTTGGGACAGGCATGCCTTAGTCCACACAGTGATATCTTTGCATTATAACACTTTAAAGAAATCTTATGTAGCACATTTGCCCAATGCAATTTTCCATTTGATTTTTTTGACAGCTGTTTCCATAAGTGTTCATACTGGATTCACGTAAAATGGAATCCTTGACAACTTCAGTCTTTTCTCCATTTATCATCGTGTTGCTTATTGATCCAGTTGTGAATATTTTTATGTTGAATGCTGTCGTCTTTGATCTTCACCAGAAACTGCCCCAAATCCTTTTTGCTTTCAGTCAACAAAGTTGTGTCATCTGAATGGCGCAGGTTATTAATAAGCCTCACTCTATTCCAAAAATTGAGTTCTTCTTCCTAGTCCAGTGTCTCAGATTGTGCTCACCGTACAGACGCTCAGCATGCACACTACATTACATGAGTAAATGTAGTAAAAGGATACAGCTCTGTTATGCACACTCCTGATTTTAAAACATGCAGTGTCCTGTAGTTCTGTGTGAAACACTGTGTTTGGTCTCTGTAAAGGTTGTACATATGCATAAGTAAGTGTTTTTGGAATTCTCATTCTTCCCAGTATTGTTCATAGAGTTCAATGCCTTTATATAGCCAATAAGCACAGGCCAACATCTTTCTGATACTATCTGCAGTCAGCCAGAGATCCATGTGACTAGCAGTGATATACTTCATTTCAGGTTGTCTTCTGAGTCAAGCGTACATTTCTGGCAGATTCCTGTTGATGTACTGCTGCTGCAACTGCTTTTAAATTATCTCCACATTTTACTTGTGTGTAATATTACACTTTATTGTCAGAACACAATACCTTTGTACTTGATATATTTCAGAAGCAGACAATTTCTTCAATTTACTATACCAAGGACCTTACTTCTCTCTGTTAAACAAATTTTGCACCACATCTATCCTAAGATTACCTTGGGGACTATCAGTTATATATATAAAGTGCTTGTGTGCGGTGAGTAATACATGGTAGGCACTCAGGAGTTGGACCTGCTGTTTTTATTCTTACATAATCTTTGGAATGAATGGCAAGACATTATTTATGGGCTGATTATGTTCATTAATAATCTTTTCTGGAAATATTAACTCTGGGGGCAATACATAACGCAAATAGAAAGCAAAATATGACCATCATCCTTCTCTATGAAAAGCATTTACTATTGAATGCAATTGTTGAAAAACAATATTTCTATTATGTTTATGAAGCAAATCAATCTGGAGTAGTTTTCAAAAAGTATTTATTATTTTTGACACACAATTTACATATCGTACAATTGAATAGTTCAATCATATCAAGGGGAATTGTGCAATCAGCACCACAACTATTTTTAGAGCATTCATCCCTCCTCCGCCACCCCCTGCCCCCATAGTTAAATCACCTTTAAAATGAGTTGTGTAATCACAGTCAGTTCTAATGCCCCCTCACCCCTCCTGCCTTCATTATTTACTCCAGAGACCCCCTTTCTCTCCCTATCGCCCACCCCCCACCCCTGCATTCCCTGTGACACCTTGTATAGACCTTATTCTCTGTATACATCCGCTCCTCCTGTGCTCCACAGCTGGGAGACCAAACAAGACAGTGAAAAGCAAATCTCTCCAAGGTGGTGAGGGTATGATTAGATTAGTATAAAGACAAAAATACAAAGACTGCATGAGAGGCAGAAGAAGACCCCCATCAATGTTCAAGAAGCCAGCAAAGAAATTTGTCATGGAACATCTAAGAGATACTTGCACAGAACAAGTGCAGGTCGTGTCTATAGGGAGGTCAGCTGGCTAAGTATCAAGGTCTGACCAGCACGATTGAGATTATAATGGTCTCTGCCTGTTAGTAAGTCTGTTGGAGCTCTTGCTGGCTAGAGCGGATCTGCCAGTGGCTCAGTTTGACCAGATACTCTGCAGGTGAGTTTTGGGCCCTTATCGACCCCCATAACCCTCCGCAAACTGGGTGTTCATAATTTTAGCTCTGATGCTTTTCTTTTCACCATATTTGAATTTTGTAATTGTCATCTTTGGAGCACACAAGCTGGGGTGCTTCTTGCTTGTGGACTTAGTCGACTCCTTGCTTAGGTGGCTGCTTGTTTGAATACAAGCCTTTAATACCCCAGACACTATTCCGATTGATAGTCAAGCACCATCTACTTTTTTTGCCACACTTTCTTTTTCTTTTTTAAATACTTTTACTGGGGGGCTCTTACATCTCTTATGACAATCCATACTTTTCTCCAGTGTGTCAAGCACATTTGCACATAAGCCTCCATCATCATTTTCTAAGCATTCTCTTCCACTTGAGCCCCTCATTTCAGCTCCCCATTTCTTCCCCCTCCCTCATGTTTGAGAGCTTATGAATGTGAACAGTCTTTGTCCTTTGTCACAATTGTTGTTATTTCTCTGGATATAGGATTTTACTTAGAAAATCTTTTCCCATTAATTTTAAGGCATTAAGCCCTGGTCGATTGGCTTCTAGCTTCTGGTGGGTTTGTGGAGAAGTGTGTTACATTTTGAGCCTTGAACTGTAACTGCTGACCTGTTTTGACATTTCTGGAGGCTTTCTGTCCCCTTTCTTGTAAGCATTTCACTTGACATCATTTTGATTCCTGTATGTGTTTGGAAACATGAGGACCGCTTTTGTGATCACAGTGTTGGGGAGCTAAAGGAGAGAGCTTTTGGTATTTAGGTCTTAGAACTCCAAGAAAGGATATTGTACAGTGCAAGAAATGATCTCATGGAAACTATCAGTAGTGCCCGTCTTGTGGCTCTGCATGTTGATTATGGTCTATGACAGGAAAGAAGACGTACACCACGGAGCAGTGTGTTTGGTAATGATATAGTGGACATGTGCTGTGGGAAACAATGCAGACTGGAAGTATTCATGGTGTAGGGAAATTAAAATTGTTTAAAAAAGTCACTGTGAAATACAGGTATTAAAGATTATGATGACACCTACCTTGGTACCACTTTGGGCTTTTAAGTTTGACAATATCTGCATTGTCATGCTATCATTTTTCAAACTTTTTTTCCCCCTTGTATTTCTAAATAGTACATTCTCTAATGCGATGAAGATAATTACCAACCGTCCCCTCTAGTAGGATATCTGTTTGTACTCTAAGTAGAGAGCCAGAAAGAACTGGGCAAGACCGTTGCTGCTCGGATCGGGGTGTGACTGACTAGAGCAGCTCTGGTCTCTGCTGGGACAGGCGTGAAGTGCAGTCTGAGGAGCTTAGCATTTCATGGCCACTTCTGAGTTACCAGCCTACGGATCTAACTCCTTAATGTTTTGAGAAATGAATTATGAAATAACAGGTACAGCTATATTCTACGAACACACATTCAGAGACAAGGGGAAATTGCTTTTGAATTATCTACCAGTGTTTATGATCTATATTATTGTTGTACTTTGTTAAAGGTGGCTTAACTAGGCAAGGTCTACATTAAAAGTGCTATAAGGAAACAAAGGGATTAAGATACACTGGGCTTGGGAGCTGGAGGAAGATGCTGATGTCGCGGTTTAATAATTTTGCATTGATGTAATAATTTTTAGGCATTTTAAATTAGTGAAAGTTGCGGTGAAGTCTTGATTGTAATATGTGTGCAATATGCCTTTCCCTTTCAGAACCTAAACCCCAGCCCCAGCACCTTCATCAGGGACAACATAGATTTTTAAATGTGGAGCAGAATGGAGTAAGAGATATTAATCCACCAAGACATCTTCCTCGAAGTGATACCAGGCAGCTAAGAAACGAAAAGCCTCCTCGTTTTCAAAGAGAGACCCAGCATCTGAAGTCCACTTCTGAAGGCAGTGGACTACCTAGAAACAGAGGTTCAGAAAAACCAGCCTGTTCAGTACCTGAAGTGTGGATCGAAGAGAGAAGCAGGTGTGATAGACCGCATTCTCGGTACGATAGAACTAAAGACACCGCGTACCCTTCGAGTTCCCAGAGCGGCGAGGGTGCTTTTAAACAAAGAGAGAACTCTGTGCAAAGCAGACCAGGAAAAGGGCCGTCCTGTCCCGAGGCAAAAGAAAGCCCACTGCCTCAAGAGTCCATAGATTATATTCATCAAAAGCGAGGGAAAAGAGAAAACCAAACAGCAAATCCTGATCATTTTTATGACAGAAAACCACGGACAATAAGTAATGAAGCTTTCAGTGGTGTAAAAATGGAAAAGCAATTTAATATAAATACCGACTACCAGACTCCTGTCAGAACTAATAGTTTCATTGGTGTTCTAAATGGAGAGACAGAAATGCCACTGAAGGGGAGGCGAGTCGGGCCAATTAAGCCAGCGAGAGCAACCCCGTCTGCTCCCTATGATGAGAAAATGTATTACAACAGTGGGCCCAGAAGAAGGTCCGGGCCCATTAAACCAGAAAAAGTTCTGGAATCCTCTTTTCCTATGGAGTACACAAAAATGTGGAAACCTGGAGATGAATGTTTTGCACTTTATTGGGAAGACAACAAGGTATGGCTGCTGAAAAGATACTCTATGTTAAGATAGCTAAATGAGTGTTTTAGTGGGACGTCATAAGAGGTGAGCGCATGGTTACTGTGAGTTTTGTTCCGATTGTACCTGTTCACAGCCTCTGAACAGAAGGACGTACCGATGACCTAACGGGAGAGGGGAGAAAGGGAAACAACACGATACTTGATAACTTTTATAAAGATAATTCGGGTGAGATCTGTCTCCAAAGTGGCGATGGGAGGTGTACATTTTACGCATTAGAAAAGTACTATCAATGTGACTAGTTGAACTTTATTTCATTCATCCTCAGCTGCACCATTGCTCTTTGCTTCTCTCTGTAGTAAAATGAGTCTGCTCAGAAGAAAATGAATTGAGTAGCACAGAATTAAATTCTGTAGTTTTTAAAGATTTATTTACAGAAAATGTTTGTCTACCTTAAAGCATAGAGAGATTGTTTGAGTAAGCTTAGAATCCCAACAATTTAAGGATCCTTTCATTTTCCTTTATATTCTACTTTTAGGAAGAAGGTCAGAGGAGAGGGGCAGGCAAGGGCAAGGAGAATAGAACAGATCATGTCACAGAGCCTGGCTGAGAAAGACACAGGCAGTGGAACAGGGCGGGGAAGAGCACAGAGAGCCTCAGAGAGAGGTCTTCACCAACTGTTCTCTCTGCCAAACTTGCCCTGCTGCGTACTATCCTCAGCCTTCGGGCGGGGCTCCAGCATCACATCCTGGAAGAAGTCTTCGTTAACCTGCAGCTTTCTCTCTCCTACATTGTCTTTCACACTCAGTGACTTGTTCATTTTTTAAAGCTTTATCACAGTGTGTAAACAATGTTGTTTTAGACTTTTGGATTAAATCTGCCCTCTCTACTATAGTTCTAAGTCGATTTTGTTGTTGTTGTTGTATTGTTGTTGTTTGTAGTGCTGCTGCTCTCACAGCAGAACATTTCCATGATTATCTGCTGATTGTTAACTAACTAACACAAAAGGTTACATTTATATAGGGAATGCTAGCGTGAGGAGGGGACTGACGGTATCAACCAGGTAAGAAAATCAGATGCAAGGGGATTAGAGGGTGAGGGACCTGGGTGGATATGACAGTGAATCAAAGAGAAACTACTGAAATAACATTAATGACTGCAGTTGTTGCAGAGTTGGATGGCTGACATGCGTAGTGGAGGTGACAATAGGATTTGACCTGAGAACCAGGCCCCCAATGTGAGTGGTGAGGCTTACGCAGTGTGAGGGTCAATTCTGATGGGGTGTAACAGAGTGGTATGGTTAGATGACATTGGCTCTAAGGTTTTTATATGGTGTGGAATAGTAATGGTCTAGCTGTTAAATCCTAATAGGAAAGGAGACAACATTATCTATTATGTGTAACCCCCCCCCCCAAAAAAAAAAAAAAGCAAAAGCCTTACCAGAACTACGAGCTAACTTTATTTAAATCTCATTGGCCATAAGTGTTCCACATAGCCAATTCCTAGATGTCAGGAGAATTGGAAAGCAAATCCTATCTCAAGTCAGCCTACTCACTCCAAAATTCAGGAAACATTGATTTGGGTAGTAAGGGCAGCAAGAGCTTGCTTTTATTTGGTGTATTCAGTTTGATGGTGGAGGCAAGACAAGGAGAGAGCAGTACTGGCTGATCAAGTCAATGGCACCAGTTTTACAGAGTGGCCATGTGTTCCAGGCGCTTCTCAGAGGGGTGAATTCAAATGAAAATGACAAAACTGTTCTCTGTACTGCGCAGTGATACTATTTTGTTGATGGCTTTGATGAAAACAGTTTGCAGCAGGAAGGAATAAGTCCAGAAACCAAACTGTAATTACATGATTGGGAGCGGAGGAAACAAACAATTATTTTGAGAAGTTCAGCTTTGAAGGCCAGCAGAGAAATGGGTATTATCGGGAAGCAAGTGTGAGAGTCAAACGAGAGCTTTTTATCTTATTTTAGGATGAGATCCTAGAATCTGTTTGTGTGCAGTTTTCGATAATCTGGTATGAATATTCTTTTCTTTCCAGCTTCCAGACTCACATCCAAGGTTAATCATTTCAGGCATTCTCCTATTCATATTCTTAATCTTTTTGGTGCTTTGTCTTTGCATCGCTGTCATCTTATAAAATACCAGCCTTGTATCATTCCAGCTATTCTTCTCTCTTGCCCTACATCGAGGCTACCGAGCAGTGCTAGAGGAAATCACTTACCTTCCTTAACTGCTGTCCCGTATTTGCTTTCTCGGACTTTCAGTTGGTTTTCACTACAATTGCCTCCTGTGTTCCAATGATTGACACTCTCTTCCATTCTTTACAGTACTCTTTCCAAGTCAGACATCCGTAATATCTCACATCCAATAAACATTGTGAGGTAAGGTTTAAAGCAGACACACATAACACTCACGCACACATACTTCTTACACACAGAGAGAGAATGAGACAGATAGAGAGAGACATTAGAAAATAATGAACAACAGAGAATAAAAACAGGTCTACAGGTGTTCACATATTGGGCTTAGCAGATAATACATTCAACAAATATTAGTTGAATATTCAACAAGCTTTAATTAAGTCCTTGCCAGGTTTCAAGTGCTTAGGTTCTAGCACATAGTTTTGACTGCTATTTCCCAGATGCTTCCACATACCTTATAATAGTATTAATAAATCTTTCTTGTTAATTGTAATTGTCTAAAGCTACAATAATATTTACTCCTCTGTTACCTCTGCTGAATATATTCTAAACGTTGTAGAAAGATAATACCAACCATTCCCACAATTCTACAATACACAAAGATACTAGGGTATTCTTAGCACTAGGTTTATGGACATTTCTTATATACCTATCATTATGGACATGCACCAAACTGACATGGGAACAAAACTACACATTTTATCTTAAAAACAACTTATTTTTATTTAAAAACAACATAATTATACACCATTGACATATAAATGAATTTAAGTGATATTATATATAAAATTTATATTTAACATTACATTTATTCCACACATTTCCTACATACATACTTGATTTTCTGTACACCTTTTCCTTAACCAATGTTCCTATATTTCCTACAAGTACTGCAACTTCTATTTCATTTACAACACTTGATTTGGCAGGTGCTTATGTCCTTGCTAAGTACTAGGTCATGCCAGCTACTTGGGATTTGAGATACTGGGTTTGACGTATCATAAGGGTCACTTGGGTCAGTCAGTATGACAGCCTCTGATGCATTGTCTTTACATTTGATGTTGCTTCTTAACTTTTTGACTATGCCTACATTTATTACTGAAGTAATATTTTCATGAATGAAATGTATTAATTCTCAATTTAACTTCTCGTTAAGTTGGTGTGTGTGTGTGTGTGTGTGTGTGTGTGTGTGTGTAGATAGGCATTTGAAACAAGAGACTTTCGAGATTAGAAGGCTTAAAAGAAAATGAATTTATATATATATATATATATATATATATACATATTTGTTTCATTAAGTAGATAAAAGTCAGTGGGAGGTAACATGTAAACAGTTTCTGCAATTTTTGTTGAGGAAATCAAAGTGTATCAAAATGATACATCCTATAAACCTGGTGTTAAAATAATCGGATGGTCTCCCAAGTGATACTTTGATTTAAATTAGATGCAGACTTTCAGTGTGAATGAAAGGGATTATAGCTCTCTACTGAGCACGGCTTTGTTACACCAATTGTCTGATGTCCCAAAGACTATGGTCCTGGGTTCAATTTTAACTTAGGAAGTTTAAGTAACTTTACCACATTTGCTATACATCACATACAAATGTGTGTGTTGAAGTATTGCCAAACATATATTTAGTAGTATACAACCCTGCCTTATCAAAAATCACCAACATTAATCTACCAGTAGATACCTAGGCAAATGGGCAAGATGAAAAGGTATGAGTAGGCAAAAGAGACTCTACCCGAGGTTTCGTTTAAGTATCTTGTAAAAAATAGGTAACTTTCTAATTTTCTAACCAGAAGCTAAGGTAGAAATTAAAGGAAAGGAATTGACTATAATTTCCTTAAAGAAAAAGACCTCTGGTGTTACAGTAGCTAAATGTTTGGATGATAACCTAAAGGTTGGGGGTTCAAACCCAGCAGCTGCTGTGTGGGAGAACAATGTGAGTGCCTGCTTCCATAAAGATTTGCAACCCAGGAAACACGGTAGGACAGTTCTACAATGTCCTGTGGGGTCTCTGTGAGCCGGAAGAAACTCAGTAGCAACAGGTTTGGTTGTAATCTTAATTGCATCTTGTTTTGGAGGTCATTCATTTGTTAGTCTAATCCATATTTTTATTTACATCCTTATAATACCTTGCCTTCTCTCTCATTGAAGGAGCTGGGATTTTGCAGTGCTCCTTCCACCTCTAGACACCTATTGTCTCTCAATTGGAGTAGTGTGACACACCCCAATTGGTCTCCTAGCCTTCAACCTGACTCCTTTTAAATGCATCAGTAAACTGCCACTCCTGTGACCTTAGGCTTAGTCCATGTTACTCACCCTACTTAAAACCTTTCACCTGTAGGATGCAAAAAAACTTCCAGCATATGGCTCTTACCTGAACTTATACTACCTGCTTTACTGTTGACTGACCCTTCTCCTCACTTTAGACCAGAGGTTCTCCACCTTCCTTATGCCGCGACCCTTTAATACAGTTCCTCATGTTGTGGTGACCCCCCCTAACTATAAAAGTATTTTTGTTGCTACTCCATAACTGTCATTTTGCTACTGCTATGAATCGGGCGACCCAAAGGTTGAGAACCGCTGCTTTAGACCATCATTATTTTTCAACTTGTCATTTCCTATACTCTTCACCTTACTTTATGTGTTTGTAACTTTTTTGGAACATTGTCCCTTCAGTTCATTCTTTGGCTAAACCCTCTTCATTTCTAGTTATTCCAAGGAGGACTCTTTCCCAGAAAATCTCAGTTTTCCTACGTGTCTTTTCATTACTCCCATATTAATGTACTTTCTACTTTGTTGTTGTTCGGTGCTTTCGAATTGGTCCAGACTACAACAGAACAAACCACTACCCTGTCCCGCATCATCCTCAACTAATCCTCAACTCATTGAGAAGCTGCCTCTTACCTCTGACCCTCTGGTGTAACAAGCTTCATGTCCTTTTCCAGGGACTAACCTCGTAAAGTCTGTTTTCTTCATTACACTCTTAAGTTCCAAAAAAGAAGTGAGCTTATTTGGTTTCCTCAGATACACTGATGGATTTACTTGAATTTGTACAATTTTGGAAAAGCGTGCAGTTGAGGTGTCGACCTGTTGTTGGTAGGCGCCATGAAGTTGGGCAACCTTCCCAGGCCTGTGCCATTGATTCTTCTTTGGTCTTCTTTATTCAGTCCCGATCTTACATTCTTCTTCACTGAATCCATCTTCTTTGACTATTTGCTCAGCATATAGATTGAGTAAATATGGTGACAGGGTGCAACCATGAAGCACACCTGATTATAAACCGTGCAGTATGCCCTTGTTCTGCTCACACAGCTGCCTCTGGATCCAGGTCCAAGTCAGCACAATGGCCTGTTCTGAGATTCCCATTCTTCTCAAAGTTATCCATAGTGTTTTATGATCCACACAGCCTATCTCAGAGGTTCTCAACCTGTAGGTCACGACCCCTTTGGGGGGGTCAAATGACCCTTTCACAGAGGTCGCCCAAATCATAACAGTAGCAAAATGACAGTTATGAAGTAGCAATGAAAATAATTTTATGGTTGTGGGTTACCACAACATGAGGAACTGTATTAAAGGGTCGCAGCATTAGGAAGGTTGAGAACCATTGCCTTAAATGGTGTGCCTCCCATTACTTTAACAGATATATTCTTAAATGATAGTTCTGTTAATGTATCAGTTTCTTAGGAGTTTGTTAATGAGCAACAATTTCCCAAGCAACACTGGATAAAGTGTTAAAGTTTCTGGCTGTACAGTGCCTTAACTCCTATAAATCTTAAATATAAGTCATGTTCTTAGTCTTGCTCTAGGACCTGGGTCCTCAGTGAATAAAGAAGCAGTAAGACCTTCTTGCTACATACTTGTGTTGTATATTTGATTTTAAAATAAAATACTTCTTATATATTCTGATTAGTAAATAAGGAATTATTTAATGTTCAACAGAGGGTACTAGTAGCTAACAGTATCTATATAGAATAAACATCTGACTCTCTTAGTTCTGACATCTTTTTTGGAATATGTGGAAATTCCTATGGTTGTAAGATTCTCTTCTTAAGCAATCTTTATGGCTGTTCAAAGATATCTTTTCCACCTTTAAAAATATTACAGCACTAAGAGAATTTACATTTTCATCACATGATGCCCTTTTTTGGACAATATTGGTGGTTTTATTTGGTGGACATTAAACTCACTCAAGTTTTTGCTTGCAAAAGGACAAGTACTGCTTGAGGCTACTGTTGTAAAAGCAAAAAAAAAAAAAAAAATCAAGATAAACATTTCCATTCCAAAGGTGACAGTCCTTGATGGTTACCAGGGCTGAGAGGAAAGGGCAGCAAAGACCAGAGACAGACAGGTACTGTCAGCATGGGGGAAGGGAAGCTCGTCTACAGGATGAAGAGGAGCAAAGGGGGCAGCTAGGGTGGGGGTAGTGCAATCTACTAGGAGGCTTGATAATTGATCACAGTAAAAAGAATT